TATTTAGGGATGCATCCAAGCATGCCCAGATACTAAAGAATCTATACCAGCACTTTTCTAACTGATTCTGCTGCCTGAGATTCCACACCTGCTTACAGCGCTTCCGCCGGCCTGCACATCTGCCCCTGCTGAGACCCTCTGCACCCCGCCTGATACATCAGGCCGGCACCCCGGAGCGGACTGGCAGCACAGAGCATGTAGCAAAGTGATATACTATTATTCTGAATTGCTGTCTAAAGTATTGCTGGGAGCTGTAGTCCTCTATAACTGATGGTAATTTGCATTGCTGTATAATGTATTGCCGGGATTTGTAGTCCTCTATAGCCGGGGCCATTCTGCATTGCTGTATAATGTATCGCCGGGATTTGTAGTCCTCTATAGCCGGGGCCATTCTGCATTGCTGTATAATGTATCGCCGGGATTTGTAGTCCTCTATAGCCGGGGCCATTCTGCATTGCTGTATAATGTATTGCCGGGATTTGTAGTCCTCTACAGCCGGGGCCATTCTGCATTGCTGTATAATGTATTGCCGGGATTTGTAGTCCTCTATAGCCGGGGCCATTCTGCATTGCTGTATAATGTATTGCCGGGATTTGTAGTCCTCTACAGCCGGGGCCATTCTGCATTGCTGTATAATGTATTGCCGGGATTTGTAGTCCTCTACAGCCGGGGCCATTCTGCATTGCTGTATAATGTATTGCCGGGATTTGTAGTCCTCTACAGCAGTGGGTAATCTGCATTGATGTATAATGTACTGCAGAGATTTGTAGTCCTTTATAGCTGGTGCCATTCTGCATTGCTGAGATTTGTAGTCCCTCTGCAGCTTGGAGTCAGTGGCAGAACTACCAGGATCGCAAATGCGACCGCGCCCTGGCGCTTCACCTAAAACATTAGGTCTCGTTCACACCTAGGCGTATTGCATATGCGCGGCAGTCGCGCGTTTTTTTACCGCGATTCGCGGTAAAAAAGTCGCACAACCGTCGCGTCTTTCCGAAGGCTACTTGGCTCTATCCCAATGGAAACGCGCAACAAAAACGGCACAAAGTAGTACCTGGGCCTTTTCAGGCGTGGGCCGTTTTGTAGCGCGTTAGGGACGGGCGGAAATACGCCAAGGTGGGAACGAGACCATTGAATATAGTGGGATTTAGATTTTTGAGCGTTTTGTAGAGCGTTCATCGAGCGTAGAACACGCTACAAAACGTTCAGGTGTGAACGAGGGCTAAGTCTGTATTGTTTCAGAAAAAGTCACATGGCAAAAAGTTGGTAATTGGTAATGGCGAGTGCCTGAGGAAAAGTATTGGTCTGGAAAACACTATCGGTGAGAGTGAGTGAGTGAGAGAATACCACACTACCTCTATTGA